ACTCCGCCTATAAGAAATAAGACGTAATGTACATTTGTATTCCCATGAATACCTTTTAATCTTGCTATTATTACAAGTTTCAGCGTAAATGTGCCAGTTGGAAATTCTAGGGGCCATTTTGGAACATTTTTTTAACTGGAATGGGAATCGTGTGAAACCCCATCTTTTTAACACGCTTTCATAAGCTAGGATTGTATGTATGTATGTACGAGGGGCTACCCAAAAAAAAACCGGAAATATTCTTTAAAAGCTACTTATTTTTCACAAAGTAACCTTATCTCCTTCAAAATACTGCTAACTACAACTAATACACTTGTCCCGCCGGTGCTTCCACTGCTCGAAACATTGTTTGAAGTCTTCCTTAGAAATGTGTATGAAAATCGGGTCTTTTAAGGTTTAGAGTACTAAATTAATCTTAATTTCTACACCTCTTAAGTTGCTGTATTTGTTGACTACCTAAATAAGCAACTTTGCCCCCATTCAAGAGACTTCGTATATCTCATATTTTTCGAGGTCCCATTAGTGAGGGTCGAATTTGAAACACCCTGTATATATTAACCTCCAATAGCTTATCGTTTTCTACTTGGCTAGCACTTTTAAACAATGTTCCTGCCAGCGACATAATCAGATCTGCTGTAGCATGCACCTATAAAGGAAGAATAACAACCTCCTGGTAAAAGGGATACCGTTCTATCTAGGCTAATAGCAGTGATGGAAAGAAAACATTGTTCTATAATTTTGCCGTCCAATATTATACTGGAGCATCGCAGGAAACTAGGTGCATGGTTTTGATGGGATGCACTTTAAGATGCGACATAGATAGATGCCTAAGTGATAGAGACAATTTGGGTTTTATCTTCTGGATGCACATATGTTTTCTTTCAATTTAATTGACTTGACAAGCTTAGCATCTATAATCAGTCATATTGGTTCCAATGCATCTGGTAATGACGCAGTTACGTTGCGAATGTTAAAATTATGCTATCCTGCTATAAATCTTTATTTGTTGCATATTATCAATCTATGCTTAGAGAGAGGCTATTTTCCAAGCGCGTGGAAAACAGCAATGGTAAAACCACTCGCTAAAACCTCGAATCCTTTGTCATTTGACGACCTACGACCGATAAGTCTTTTTCCTCTTCTATCCAAAATACTGGAACGCGCAGCTTATATCCAGATTTACGAGTACTTAGACAAAAATAATATTATAAGTGTTCATCAATCGGGTTTTAAAAAAATTCATAGCACTACTACGGCTTTCGATGGCGTAATTTCCGCTCTTGACAATAAAAACTTGTGTGCTCTTGTCCTTTTAGATTTCTCGAAGGCATTTGATACATTGAATCACAAACTGCTTGTAGCCAAATGTCATTACTATGGCTTTGATGATCTTGCTTGTAAGCTCATCAAGTCATATTCAAGTGATCGGTCGCAAGTGGCTGTGGTTGATGGTCAGATGTCTTTGCCAAATAAAGTTCAGTCCGGAGTACATCAAGGCTCCGTATTAGCTCCATTGCTTTTTTTGTTATACACCGCGGATCTTCAAGATACTGTCAAGCACTGTCACGTGCAATTCTTTGCCGATGACACTCAGGTAAAGTATGATTTTCCAGCCTCACGCTACTCTAAAGCCCAAGACCAAATCAATGAAGATTTGTCAAGTATTAGCCGCTATTGCAAGTTACATAACCTCAAGCTCAACCCATCGAAGTGTAAAGCCTTGCTATTTGGCAATATCAAAATAAGAGCATATCTTATAAGCAAAATTAACGTTCAAATCGAAGGAAAAATCATCCCTTATTCAGAATGTGCTAAAAATTTGGGCTTACATTTAGATGAAGACCTGAGGTTTGAAAAACACTTACAGCACGTTTTGAAGCAATGTTACGGTTCGCTCCGGCTTCTATTTGCAAACAATTGCATCACTGGTAAGCAATTGAAAAAACAGCTATGGTATTGTCTAAGATTTCGTATGGACTAATAATTTATTACCCCTGCCTAACTGCTGCGAATAAAAGACGTCCACAGATAATGCAAAATACTTGTAGTAGGTACATAAATAATTTGAGGAAGTTTGATCATATATCGCATACGTATTCTGACCTCAATTGGTTAACTATAGATAATCTATACAAATATTCTGTTATAAGTTCTGTGCATCGTATTTTACTATCCGCATCACCCCCATACCTGTTTGAAAAATTTATTACCAGATCCAGCACGCATAATATTAACACAAGGCATCAGGCTTTCTTTATACTGCCAGTCCATCGTACTGTTTTATATTCAAGAACCTTTATTTACAATGCCGTTAAATATTACAACAGTATTAATTTTTATTTTCAAAATATTGCGAATATTAAAACTTTTAAATTAAAATTGAAGTATCTTCTCTCGCAAACATGAATTGCCACTTATATTTTTTTTTATTGGTTAATGATGGTTGATTTTAAAAAAAATCCTTTGATCACAGTTTTGTTGGTTCAAAACAAACCGATTTAAATGTATGTACCATAGTTAATGTCATCCACTTCTATGTAATTTCGTATAAATTATCAAAACGGGGTTCGGTGGAAGAATAACTCACGCTAAACCTCGCCCCTCGTAATTTACTAAATGTTTTGTGCAATAAAGACCCTTTATTATTATTATTATTATTATTATTATTATTATATACTTGGTACTTGCCACGTGTGCGTATAGGTCTATTTCTAAATTACCCATACGCACAGGTTAAAAATGCTCGACACAAAAAGACTCGCTGAGCATAATGATTGATATGCATACATAATTGTGTAACAGAGTTCCAAATTGGTATGCTACTGGTATACTTCTCACTGAGTCCCAAAGTAATCAGAAATAAACTTTTTCCAAAATGTCTGTCCGCTTTCACAGAAATTTTCGACAACTTAAGAAGTAACGTAAGGCCTTCTAGAACAATAACTAAAATAAAAAATACACTTTTGAAAAGACTTATATGTTCATAAAAACCTTGTTTTAAATAATGTACTTCTTCATTTCATTAACAGGACATCAAAATTCTTACCTTATTTGTGTTATGAAATGTCGATAAATATAAACCGCATGATGATAAATCGATATTTTACAGCAATCGCCATATAGAATTTAGAATAACGTTCAGTGCTTATCGTGTTTTCCTCACCAAAACCTTTTATTTGATACCCATATCATAGATGTGACTTATGAAGAATGTAAATCGCCATTTTGCGGCGGTCGCCATATTGGATTTGGAATGACGTCGTTTTGCTTCTTGCTCCGTGGCCTCAGAACCAATTATGGCAAATAAGACAGACCAAACATATAATAAGTGACATATAAATCCGAACACCCAGTTTAAATGGTTTTATTTTAATAAAAGTTGGTGAATGTATTTATCTTATTGTAAATAACAAGTGAAAAAATGTTCAGCCTTATCAGTTGGACATTCCGGTTTTTATACTGCTTTTTTTTAATTCACTAACGCTCTAAAAATGAATATTTCAGCCGCAGTAAAGAATCAACCTTGGCGGATTTTGGTTCTTGACATCCATTACGATCGGTTACGATGCCTAGAGTACGGAGACCTGTACGATTTCGTCAACTTAGTGAGTTTGATAGCGGCTGTATAGTGGGACTTCGGGAAGCTGGACTTTCTTTTCGGGCAATTGCAGTTAGAGTGCAAAGAAGTGTAGACACTGTGGTTAGGTGTTGTCAGGCATGGCTTCGAGAAGGCCGTACGCAAAGAGCAAGGGGCACTGAACGCCGCCGTAGAACAACAGACCGTGAAGATCGCCGCCTAAGATTATTGGCCTTAAGGGACCGTTTCTCCACTACCAGGTCCATTGCAAATGAATGGTTTGCAGAACACGGAAGACCTATTGGCATGCGAAGTGTTTACCGACGAATGAGAAGTTTTGGCTTGTTTTCATAGAGGCCACACTGGGTCCTCCCTTTAACTCGAGAACACCGACGTAATCGCCTTGAGTGGTGCAGACAACGATCACTCTGGGATCAGGAATGGAACAGTATTGTCTTTAGTGACGAGTCTCGATTTTATTTAGGCATGCACGATGGTCGTGCCAGGGTTAGAAGGCGCCGTGGTGAAAGGAGGAATCCACAGTTTTTTGTTGAAAGACATGTTCATCACACTGTTGGGGTTATGGTTTGGGGTGCTATAGCTTATGGTTCCAGGTCACCTTTAATCTTCATCAGAGGTAACATGAACGCGCAGCGTTATATCCATGAAGTTCTAGAACCCCATCTTTTACCCTATCTTGACACCCTGGCAGATCCAACTTTCCAACAAGATAATGCCCGACCACATGTTGCAAGAGTCACAATAGACTTCTTTCAACATAATGATGTCACATTGTTACCATGGCCACCAAGATCTCCCGACTTATCCCCAATTGAGCACGTGTGGGATATGATGGGTATGAGATTGCTCAATTTGCAACGTCCTCCTCAGACTCTAGAAGCACTTCGAGAGGAGTTGGTGGTTGCCTGGAATGAGATACCACAGGAGGACATTGACCACCTGATCAGAAGCATGCCTAGGCGCGTTGGAGAATGCGTAGCACATCAGGGTGCATCCACACATTATTAAAGGTCAAAGGGCTTTAAAGCAGTGCAATCATTTTGAAATTTTTATCATTTACTTATTATGCTTCATTAAGTACTTATACAAAATTTTATTAAAATAAAACCATTTAAACTGGGTGTTCGGATTTATATGTCACTTAGTATATGTCTCTTTCCAAGTTTTGGCAAAATCGATGCATTTGTTTCTCAAAGTACGCGGTTAGAAAGTATTAACAGACGTACCGACTAACAAACAAATCAACAGAAATGAGTGAAATGGAAACACCGGGCTCAGAAGCATTGTTGGAGTTCATCGGTTAAAATTTTCTTGCAATTATAGGTGACCTCAAACCTAAGTTTCCTGTCTCCAACTTATTTTCTTACGACACGTATATTGATGTATTTATTCCTCTTTCCAGAATGCCAGCCCCTGAAAGACGTTCACCTGAGTATAGAACCACGCGTGGTTGCTAGGGGCGGAGAATCTCAATTGAGATGCGACTACGACCTGGAAGGGGCTGCACTGTACTCAGTCAAATGGTACCGAGGACGGTACGAGTTCTATAGGTACACGCCTCACGATAATCCAGAGACGAAGATATTCGCTCTCAAGGGTCTTACTGTTGACGTAAGTATAGTACTTGTAGTGAAAGTATAGTAATAATACAACTTCCACAAAAAAGAAAGGTCAGCAGACTCGAGCAGAAAAAAAAGGATAGATAACCCGAGAAATATGTATTTCTGCTTGTTGTCTTCATCAGACCTGAAATGAAAGCACTTATGTAACTACAAAACTAGACACATATTCGAATACGGATGTAATCTTAGAAAACGAAGATAGAGAGGGAACAAAACAAAAGGAAGTCAGACTACAGATTGTGGTATACCTAATGACCAGAAGACCTCGAGTATTCAAAGCGATATCTACAGCCAATAACCTGAAATACATTTTGCTCGAGTTACCTGTACTTGTTTTTTGCTCGAGTCCACTTTCCTTCTCTTTGCGGAACTGCCCCATATTTTTTCTATTTGTCACCTGGTAAGAGTTCACCCATTTTATTTCCAATGTCAAAGCTTGGAGATCCCATTCGTATTTATCATTATGATAGGTCATGTGCAATAGGGAGGATGAGGAATCATACTTTCATCAAAGCAATTTATTTTAATGACAGGGTTGTTTGAAGCTCAAATTCTTTCCACGTCAAAATAGATTGATCTATAGTCACTAGATATAAAACTCTCCTGTCTGTGTCAAAAACAGCCGCAATTTTGGCGGAAAATCGCATGTAAATTATCTTAGCGCTTCAATGAAAAGTGTTCCGTGTATCGCAGTCCCAGACGGTGTTGTGGCGTACCATGCCAGCGCCAGCGATCCCAAATATTATATATATTATTATATTCTTTGCAACCATAAAAACTAAATATTTCGATATGACCTAGTGTGGTTTCCAAACAGTGCATTCGTTACTAATTGAACGTTGCGGTATTTGTGAATTTTTCCTAAACTACTAACTTGCAACGTGAATAACCGTGTAAAAACTATCCTTATCTTTATTGCTTAAGATGATTAGATTATAAAAATAGGATGATTCCATTTAAAAAAAAATACTTTTGGCATTTGGTACAATTCAATTTTCGTCCGATTTTTTGATCGCCCAGTATCATCAAAATATCCAATGAAGCCCATTAAAAGTAGACCTCCTCGTACAATGAGAACCAAATTTGTCTGACGGCTTGAGTTCAATGTGTACGAGAGAGAAGTATGTTTGGACACATATGTTAGAAAGAGATGGAAGACGGCGAGATACCGAAGTTCATCACTGCTTTGCCTAGCTGCGCTGACGAGGCAATTTGCCGCGTTGCCAATATGTTACACCAGTTCCTTAAATTAAGATGCATATTGAAAATATGGGTTAGTTAATTCTCGCTGATTTCAAAAAATGGCAACGCAGCACGACCCTCTGCGTCAACGTTGCTAATCAATGTGGTGGTGACCTTCGCTTTTTCAGCTGGCTTTTATCTCTTTCTAACATGAGATGATACACGTTTCTCGACCTTCTCTCTCGTACACAGTGAGCTCAAGCCGTTAGACAAATCTGGTTTTCCCTGCATAATGGAGCAGTTACAAACGGTTCGACTAGTCGTTTGTTGGGGTATGTTCACTTGCTGTAAACCAGAAGGATATAGGATTTATCGTTCAACTGCCCGAATTTTCCTCTAGAGAGGAAAACATGCACCCAAAAATGTCAAGTAGATTTACTCAGTCATTCCCATTCAATTCTCATTTAAAAGTGATAAACATAAATTGGAAGAAATATGATTCCACATATCGAATAACAAGTTGAAGAAGTAAATAGGAAGAATTATGAATAAACGTCTGCAGTGATGCATGAGAAATGTACAAGGTATTGCGAATAACTTTTAATTAAACTTGAATAGTAGTGTTTTTCTGCCCAGCCTCGAAGTGTATGCACAAGCAGTATTTATAATATTGTGGCTATGCAAGTCCAGCCCAAAGCTGATGAATAAAAAACAAAAAAACGAATTCTGGAAATTTTGTGATACAGCTTTTTTTCACGGGTGCCCACGGAGAGGGAGTTGCCGACTGTGTCTTCTGGGGTGAAAATAATATATCCCCTATACAGGGTATTTAAAATTCGCCCTCACCATATTTGTGGTGGGATTTCAAAATAAATAGCACAACAGCTCTGCCACATTTTCTCCTCTACAAGACGGCACAATTAGAATTTCAATATGACGTTTCGTATGTTGTCCTCCAGCATCAACTTAATTTTTTCTTGTAGACGCCATATTGGATTTTTACACGCATGAATAGATTTTGTATTCTGATTCTAAGTTATTCCAGAGGTTCCTAGGTAGGCCTTGAAATTATCAGATTTCGTTTGTTTGCATAGCAACAGAGTTCAGAAGACTGTGAAGATCTTTGCTTATTTATGGTTATTATTTTTATTACCATCAATAAAATTTTCGTGTTCCGGTTTCACCATATCTTTTTATTTCCTTATAGTTTCCGTCCAACAGCAAATTTATGGTCATCTAACAAAACACATCACTGAATTTAGGGCTGAAAGGTCCATTTAAAACTCAATATAGCGTCTGTATGAAAAGGCAAAGTTGATGATGGAAGTCGAAAGAAGAAATGTCGAACTGAAAATTTGACTACGTCATCTTGTGGATGATAATAAGTAACAATGACAATATGCAATTTATTTTGAAGTCCCATCTCAAATAAATTCAGGAAAAAATAAAGCGATTTTGGGATCACACTGGTGAGCGAAAGAAATATGTCATAATTTCAAGGCCTACTTAAGAAATTCTTTTTTAAGGTTTGTCAACGTCAATGTATCAAAATTAAAAATTGTATTCATCTGTGCAAAAATGCAATATAGCGTCCTTAAGTAATAGTAAAGTTGATGATGGAGGACAAGAGACGAACCGTCATATAGAAATTCTGATTATGCCTCCTTGAGAGAAAGAAACGTGGTAATGTTAATATGCAATTTATTTTAAAGTCTCAATATAAATAAATTCAGGAAAAAATCAAAACGATTTTGGGAAAATCAATTTTTCCGTCACTCTCCGGCAGTACTTTGACTTTTTAAACTTTCTAAGTGTCGTTTCGTTGACTACTCCGTTTAGGCGATTTAGGATCCCTTTACAAGTTCTCAATGGTGAGTGCTGAATTTGAATCGCCTTGTACATGCAGAGTCTCACTAGAAGAAAGAAGTAAGAATACTACAGGGATTTGAATACACTAAAAAGCTATGTTTCACAGAGTTCCCAACATGGACAAAAAGAACTGAGACTACGAAAATACGTAGAAGTAAGACTTAAATCGCGTAATCTCGCATTTTGCATCTGTAACAAAATTTTTCAAACGATTAGTGATCACAAAAATCGTATCAATTATGTTTCTCGAAAGTTAGGTCCTCTATTGTTCGGATTTTTCATACTGCATTCATAATCTTCATTTAGCCATTACCGGGTGAATAAGCAAAATATTTCTTCTGCCACTTACTCACCAGAAAATGTTACAAAACAAGCTTCTCCACAAAATTCAGGTTTTTGGACTTCATTCTCTCCTCCAATAAATCTTCAAGGTGTTCATCTTCTTGGTATATCGCTTAGTTTTTTTTACCCCCAAGTAGCCGCGCAGGTGAAGCCTACATGCCAGGGCACCGCGGCTGCCTTGAGGAGCTTAAAGAAACTTTGTTATTCCTATTTTTGAACTGCCTAAAGTTACTAGAACTGGAAAAGGCTCCTGGAGATTGTTATACGATCTCGACACCCTCGGGACAAAGGAGCGGTCTTATCGGCCAGTTCTCGATGTACGAAGTTCGACACGGTTACGATGAGAGGCCGAAGACAGGCACATGACGCACAGTGGGGCAGAATCCTAAAAAGCTGGGCAAAAATTAAATTTTGAGTTATACATATTCGTCTCTATACGTTCAGATCTTGTTTGTGGATAGTCCTAGAATGAAATTCCGGACAGGGCAGGTATATACTCGCTCTAGGGTCGCCTTGACATCAGTCGACATTCAGCTGTCGTTCGGTACGCACTAAGCAAGTGTACACGTCGAACAATTCTGGCCTGTTTCGAAGTGCTGTAAAAGAGACGAAACTATCTCAATTTGAATTGTGCAAAATTTAATCACTTTCTGAAAGTATGCAGAATATAAAGTTATGCTCAGTTGTTGCTTGTTTTATGTTTAAAATATTTGAGTTTTACAACAAATAAACATAAACAATTGTAAATTTTTTTTCTAAAATCGATTTTCTAAAGTAGTTTTAAAAATGTCTTCGCGGCGAGTCTCGATCTTGTTTCGACAAGGAAGTGATAGTGTACGGTATGAAATATAATATAGTAAAAATCTGGCTGCTCAGGAGTGCTCAATGAATAGTTAGACTAATTTTTAGTAAGAAGTACGTGGCGCGACATTAATGGACGTATGACTGTGATGCATTGATTATTACGCTACAGTACGTTGGTATATTTTCTGTTTATAAATATTGATTAATGTTATTGTAAATGTACGGTTTACAAGCTACTTCACGTATTATTTTATGATAGCCTCAACATTTTATAAAATATTCCTCCAAGAAATTTCAGTAGTTAGAGCTGTATTTCCCACATGTTCGACTGCACTGTGGGGTCTGAAGTGACCAGACAAGAGACAAGAAACGATTCCGATTTAGATACAAGTGGGTCAACATCAGAATCCGAATCGAATGATTTGAACATTGAAGATGACGTACAAGATTTTTTGTTACTAGAAATAACAGATATTCATTTTGTTGCAAATTTTTTATTAAAGAAATTTTTGATAAATAAAAAACATTGCTCGAAAGATTTTTTCCTCATAAAACCTAAAAAATTATAAAATATTTTCTATTTAAAAATATTAAAGAATTAAAATTTTTTCGGAATCCTCCATATATCGCGTCTGCTTTTTTGAAAATTAACATTTTGATAACCAATCCGTAATCAGCGATTCCAAAAACCATAAACAAATACACTTGGGTATTTTTACTGGATTATTTGACTGATTAGTTAAATTATGTCCGCCATTTTGGGTCCGCCAGTTTGAAAATCGTAATTCTGATAACAGATTCATATTCAGCGTCCTCAAAAACCCCCGAGAAGAGAATTTGAGATCATTTACGACACTTTGGCCAGGTTTTTGGGATTCTGCCCCACTGTGAGGCGCAGCGACACCATGAAAGAGAGGAGCAAAGCCCGTTGGCGCAGCTACATCGACAACGGCCCGTCGGTGAGGAGGTGTCCTCAGACCGTCCATTAAAGAAGAGTTAGCGATCATTAAATACCTTTTGCGAAGCAGTTTTAGTCCTCAAGGTAGTTTCGACACATTCTGATAACTTTCACTATCACTGGTTGACTGGTTTCCTCTGATCTGTCAGAAGGTTCTGTACGAACAGCGGATTAGCTATCGGCAAATAGTCAGAAACTGTACGATCAGGTAACATCTCTCTGATTCTGATTTTGACAGTCACCGACAGGTTACGGACTACTGTACGAACAAACGAAAATTCAAAAATATACGACAAATTGATCATCATCAGCACATCACGTATTTGAATCTCCCTGCAGACATTCGTCAGAAAATTTCTGACAAAAAAGCTGCAATTAAGCAAGCGAAGAGGTCTTGTCACCCAGATGACATTCACAGAGCAACGAATCTTGTTCATGATGTGAGAAATGCTCTTCATGATTTCCGTAATGAGCAATGGAGCAACTTTCTGTCGGGGATGCTTGACTCAAGTATTCCTCTCTGGAAAGTTGCAAAGTCGCTCAGAAACGGAAAGCGAGAACAACTCCCGCACATCCACGGTCCTAGGGGCATAGTCTGTAGGACAGAGGAAAAGGTCGAGGTTTTCGCTGATGCAATGGAAAGTCAGTTCTCTCCCAACTATGACCTTGATAATGACCTCGACGAGGAGCAACATATTGTAAGATCCGTCAGGAGATATTTTAAGGCCAACGGCTTCAGTGGCAGTAGTGCCTCCCTTAGTGATTTTTCCTCAGAGAAATCTTGAGAATATTCCTCAATTGAAGAACTGCACGGCACATCAGCGGAATCTCCTGAGACTCCGCATTGCACACCAGCAGAGCTCCAAGGTCATATTAAAGACCTCAAGGTGCGTAAAGCACTTGGAGAGGATCGAATCACTAATAAGGCGCTGAAGCTACCTTCGCGGAAGTCCTTAACTTATCTCGTGGCAATAATGAATGCCATGCTAAGGACCCAGCACTTCCCAACGGCGTGGAAGACTGCTGATGTCATAATGATTCCAAAGAAGGTGGGTTCGATGTTCCCTCAGGATTACCGCCCCATTAGTCTACTGTCAGCTCCTTCTAAGCTCGCTGAAAGGGTGATTCTACGTCACCTTGAAAATTTCTCGGCCGACCACAATGTGATTCCTGACGTGCAATTTGGCTTTCGGTCTGAGCATAGTACGGAGCTACAGGCTATAAGGCTTGTTGAACGAGTAACCAGCGGGTTCATCCGTAACGAAAGTACTGGCATCTTGCTACTGGATGTCTCAAAGGCATTTGACAAGGTGTGGCACAAGAGCCTTCTCCACAAATTGATCCATAAGGGCTTCACCTTCTGGCTCCTAAAACTTTTGAAATCCTTTCTCGAGGGTAGGAAATTTCGGATCAAAATGAATAACGTTCTGTCGACAACGCGGCCCATTAAAGCCGGTGTCCCTCAGGGTTCGGTTCTTGGACCAGTCCTTTATTCACTTTTTATTCATGACGTCCCCTGCCCCAGCAGCTGTGAAACCTATCTCTATGCTGATGACACTGCCCTGGTGGCCCAGTCGTGCTCTGGGGATCTAGTTCACGACAGGCTGCAAAGTGCAGTGGACGAGGTAGTGGAATGGGTAAATCGGTGGCTGATCAAAATGAATCATTCGAAAACGCAGGCAATCTATTGTACTAAAAAACGTAGCGGCGCCCCGTCTGAGGTTTCAGTGAATGGAGCTGGGGTACCATGGGAAAGCTCTGCTAAGTATCTCGGTGTCACTCTTGACAAGGGGATAACCAGGCAGAAGCACACTGAAGCGTTAAAAACTAAATTCCAAATCTCGTACCGGCAACTCTACCCTATGCTATGTAGAACATCAAAATTAAGTTTGATCAATAAAGTTCGACTATACAAGATGGTTATTAGACCAGCGATCACTTACGCAAGTGCGGCTTAGTGTTTTCTCGCCAAAACGCATTTGCGTAGCCTGCAGGGTTTGCAGAACAGAACCTTGCGTACAATCACTAACGCCCCATGGTATGTTTCCAACGAGACCCTTCACAGAGACCTTGACATCCCTTACCTAAGGGACTACATCAAACAACAAGCGCAGCTACGTTACAGTCAAGCAGAATCGTATAACAACCCTTTGTTGCGCGAGTCAGTAGACTACACAGTCGAGCAAGTTCCAGTGGCGTAGCCTGGGTCATTGCCGCCCAGGGCGGAATCATAATTTGCCGCCCCTTTGACGTCAAAAAATAATCATGTTGGTGAAGGTGAAAAAAAAAATAACGTAATCATCTGGAAGAACAGTGCGAAAAAATATTTATTTCCAAACCATATAATATACAGGTCACGTGTAAACTGTGAACGTGAAAAGTATACTGTTGTAAACTATAAAACTAAAATTCTACTTTTCTGGCCTTACGCGCAGCAAAATCATTAATAACTTCTTCAAAATTAATTTTGTCCGTCACGCTTTGTTCTATTGACAAAATGGCCAAATCACTCAATCTTATTGAGCTCATGGTGGACCGCAAGTAATTTTTTATTAATTTCAGCTTCGAGAAGCTACGTTCACAAGAAGCTACACTGATAGCTATAGTTAAAAAAATTCGAAGCATAATCACGATATTTGGCACGCAAATGCCATAGTTATATTGTTGTATGAGTTCTAGGAGCTCTAGCGGTCCTTTCTTGGCGTCAACTTGAACTTTAGCATCAGCCAAAGCAAGAAAATTGCGTAATCGCTCCCTCTCGATTTCGATTTCGTTAACATCTATGTCACAGTGCTCATTTCCCAAGTTACACTTATATTCCGGGTTAAGTAAGTTCGTCGGTATTAGAAAATTATACTTGATATCTAACTCGTTTAGCTGTTGAAATCTTGTCTTAATTTCTTGTATAATTCTGTCCACCGATTCGAACATTTCTTGCCGTAACCGATTCTCATAAGTTAAACCAGCATCTGCAATGCTCTCGCCAGCCATACTTTTTATCTTTCTTGATCGTCGAGGAGTTATTTCGATGCCAAGATCTTCGCATATATTTTTAGCATAATCAAGTGCATCATTGACGAGAACATCTCGATTTTCTACTAAAAACGATTCTAAAGCGTGAATTTTCATAGCACATTGGTGCACGTTCAGTCCTTTCGTCTGGAGATATAATTGTGCATCATTTACTTCCCGAAGAACACGACTCCATAGTCCAAGGAAGGCTAAAAATGATAGTGACTGCAGAGCAGTAAGCAATAAACCAGCGTCTGATCTTGTTCCGGTATTTTCCGCTATGTTTCCTGAAAGTGATTCCAACACTTCAAGGATCTCACTATAATGGGTCTTCATGACAGCTACGGCTTCATATCTAGAGCTCCATCGTGTTTCAATTAAGCGCTTGACTCCTTTACCTGTAACGTCGGTAAGAGCTTTCCAGCGGTGAGTAGAGGATGAAAAGTAATTGAAAACCCTCTCCATAATACCAAAAAACGTCACTGAGTCCACTGCGATTGATGCTGCCTGTACTCCCACCAGATTTAATGAATGATTAGTGCATGCAACAAACTGAGCATTTTGGTTAACTGCCTTGATACGCATTTGTACACCAGAATGTTTTCCCGACATGACAGCTGCATTATCATATGCTTGTCCACGGCAATTTTGGATATCTAGTCCGTCGCTTTCAATCTTGTCCAAAATCATTTTAGTTATATCCTCAGCGTTTTTGCCTTCAGTTTCAAGGAAGTCAATGAATGATTCTATCACTTGCACCTTGGTACCGTCGAGTTTCACATAACGGAGTATTTGGCTCGTCTGGTCCTTGTGGGAGAAGTCTGGCGTACTGTCGAACACAATAGTGAAATACTTGGCTTCCTTCACTTCAGCAAGTATCTTTTTTCGAACATAATTTCCTAAACAATGAATGAATTCATTTTGAATCTCAGGTGATAGGTAAGATACACTAGCTTTCTTTTGCAGTTTCAGCTTTGTAAGGTGTTCACAAAGAACCGGGTCGTACTTGCCAAGAAGATGAACGAGTCCTAGAAAGTTGCCTCTATTTTCAGCGTCATTTTCTTTCATGATTTCTCTATGACCTCGCAAGGCCAGATTTTGTTTAGCAAGAAATCTGATAATATCCAGTATCCTGACCAGTACTAGTCTCAGCTTCTGCTCTTCTTTAACAATCATATTTTGTTCTTGCTTGTCGATCGTTGCACCAACTTGAAGTCTTACCTCCAAAGATTTCCATTTATTGAAGTTGTCATTATGTGCTGAACTAGATTCATGTTCTAAAACTTTGGGATTTAGTTTCCACCACTTTTTGAAACCATTAATGCTGTTGAATCCAGCTTTATCGACGACCCCAAACAAACGGCAGCAGAAACAGAACAATGATTCCTTAACTAAGGAATAGGCCATCCATGTTCTCAGAATCTTTTCGCCATTTGGTAGATTTCGGAAAAACCAATCACGGCTTAATTTTCTTGCCACTCCTTTGAGCCCCTTGGTAGATTCTACAGGCCCTGGCCTAATCACTTCAGCAAACTTACAGTCAAGGTTCTGTACTGCTTTGTAGCCTCGAGTCACAAGTAATGTTCGAAGATTATAGGTAATGGAAATAGGCCAAGTTCCAATATCTTTGTAATCGCTGATAGATCCATCCTGAATGTCAAGAGTATCGATCACTTCATAGCTTTCGTCTTCCACCAACAGTTTCAATTGTTCACCTACTACCGCTGGTTCATTAGGCAAATCTTCAAATTCGGTAAGTCCGCCACTAGAAGACGAAACAGCTTTTTGATTTGGAGTGGCACTAGTACTAGCTTCTCTATCAACTTCAGATTCAGCTGTTTCGGTAGTCGAGTCAAAATACTTGAGTAAAGATCCCTTATTTTTCTTATTTTCTTCCTCTCGGGCTTTTTTTTGCTTCCTGTAAAAATCACCGCTAGGCTTATGCCTCTTCATGATCTGAAAGTAACATTGATTTAGCTCGTAAGTTTTTAGGCCAATATAGGGGCAGCAAAATTTGAACCTATAGGCAGGTAAGTAATGGCACGGGAAGGGGTATTAACTAATCAGTTATAAAATTATTATTTTTTTTAACTATCAATATTTCATGCTAAAACAGGTAATCTATTTATATTATTTTACATGAACTCGATCACTAAAATTTAAATACGTAATGCAACGAAACATTGGCTTTCGAAAAAGCGCGCATAATCTCCCAATCTCCTGCGTTCACATATAATGTGTTATATTTTCCGTGAGATCTACGATAAAAAGCATACTAAAACTTACTTACTGTTAAAACGGCAGCTTAGCGGGATACAAAACCGCGAAATACTGTTACGAATTCCCCAAAAATTCACTGGCACTGTCAATTCGACACTCAAGTCGCTTTGTTTTTTGTTAATTGAACAAAATGAAGTCAAGGGAAGGGCGCGCGGCGACACGACGCGTGGGTGCTCCTAGAATACGTGTGGGACAGAGACAGGCAATATGCGCGCGCAAGACGGGGCGAATAAGTTACTGGTATTGGGAGGAAGGTACCAGGGTTGCCAGATGTGGTGATTTTTCACCAGATCTGGTAGTTTTTCATATGCTCGACAAAATATTTTTTCCTCATGTAGCACGGATCGGCGGCGGTTCCCTCTCAAACGGAGTCTACAGCAGGCTCGTACCACGTGAAGGGTACAAAAAGGGTCAATTTTGCCGCCCTACTATTGGTGGCGCCCGGGGCGGTCCGCCCCCCCGCCCCCCTCCTCGCTACGCCACTGGCAAGTTCGCAAGCACACAAGGCCGCGACTCGCACTGTGAACAAAATTAAATCGTGCGACTTGAGGTCCAACCAAAATTATAATTTTTCTTCAACAACCAATCCCAAAATTAATTTTAGGATCAATTTAAAATTGCCGAATACTAACTAGCTATGCCAAGGCACCCCTCAAATAGATGCAGTTCTTTTTTCTTTGCTCTCCCTCCTTCCTTCCTTCCTTCCTTTCTTCTTCCCTTCTTTCTCCCTAACTTTGTTTGGTATCTGGGCAACCAGACCTGACAGACCTACTAACTTACAAGACTTCAACCAAGAGCAAAGGTCCTACGGACCGCTCTGACAGACAATGACGAATAGAAATCATGTATTTGAAATCTAGGGTATATTTCAGAAATCGAATAATATACAGAGTGTTTGTTCTATTTAAAATAAGCAGGTTAGCATCTACTTCCGGTACAACCGGAAACGAAACCATTTTGAAAATATTTTAGCCAAACTATAACGGAGAGCGGAGAGCGCATAGTTGCTATTTGTTGAATTTGTAAAGATCTCATTTTATGTTTAATAGCGAATTCACCATGTGACCGCTACACGGCTCACGATTCTGACTACAGTAGATGACTACGTGCCTTTTATTATACTGTGGCTTAAACGGCACTAAAAATCTGAGTTCCAAGTTTTTCATGTTTTTACATCTAACGGACCTCCACTATTTTTAAGATGATCTTAATTTCGGGAGGCAGACCGTGCTACTTGTGAAAACTTGTATGAGGCTTCCAAGTTTGGCGCGCCGTGAGACGGGAGGAGAAATAAGAAGCTAAATACCCAAAGGGTGCATTATGCAGTAAAGGGAAGTGCAGAATATCCATTTTCTAGCTGCCGACACACCAGAATGAGAAATGTATATTCATAACCACAAATATTCGTCTGCGAGTTGTGTTTACATTTGGCATAATTTATTATTTGGTGGCTGCGGTTAAGTGCATTTACGTGAGTTTATAGCAGGCATGCAAGTTGCAACCGCCACTATGCGCCCTGTAATCCAGTAGCACCTTGTAAATATCAAACCGTGAACAATGTGCTTCTATGGCAGAAAGGTAGTCCACAAAATACACGAAATTGCTATACTGGGTGCTTCAGATTCTCACCTATGGATTTCGGAAACAGTAAGCAAATACCTACGAAGTCGTTTGAATGAGAGCAAAGTTGCGTATTTAAGTAACTAACAAAATGTTGCTTAGAAATTTCATAAATTTAAAGTACTTTCGTGGAGAGACGAATTTATTTACAGTGGGATTTGTAAGTAAATCGCATAGTAACGTTGACAATTTTCCTCTTCTACAAGACATAATCAGAATTACAATACGACGTTTCGTCTCTTGTCTGCCATCATCAACTGTATTTTTTTCTTATAGACGCCATATTGGGTGTTTGCTCAAGTGAATAGAGTTTTTAATTTTAATTCCAGAAATGCATATTATCTCATACATCGTCATTGCCAGACCTGAGTTATTTAAGAAAAAACATAATTTCCTAAGTAGGACTTGAAATTATCAGATAGACATTTTATTCGTATACCTACCAGATTTATCGCAAAATAATTATTCCTGAAATTGGATTTAGAAATGAGATTTCAAAGTAACCTACAAGCTGTCATAGTCACTGCTTCACTGTTTCTCCTCTACAAAATAGCGTAGTCAAATTTTCAGTCCAAGATCTCTTCTTTTGGCTTCCATCACTATCTTCATTTTTCCATATAGACGCTATATTGCTAGCTGGGATTTTTTAACAGAAAGCATATACGGCATATGTCTGCGAAAGGTTGGGTAATCTGGAGATACTACATACCAAAATATGTGAATTGACCTAAATATACCTTAGTCCAAAAGCTGATAGTTTGCGAGATACAGGGTTTCAAAGTTGCCATTTTATTTTCTATTTTTCGTTATTGCTTGAGATGTATTCCAAATTTTGGCATAAAACTCGGTAGAGGGAGGTTTTCTAGTATCAGAAACAAGAATCTGTTATTTTTATGACAAAACTTCTTACAGCACTATTTCGGTAAATAACTTATAACTTTTTTGTGCTACCCTGTATACAACAACTGACCAAAAAATCTCATTTTCCCGTATTTCCACAACAAAAAAGGTTTACTTGTTACAAGTGTCTAAAGCTAATAGTTTTCGAGATATTTGTTTTTAAAAGTTCCAATGGATTATTTGGACCATGGTGATAAAACATTTTTATAACATAATAATCAAGTCGCTTTGGATAATATCTGAGTAGCGTTGCTACGGTTTGTAATGTTTGTCATAATATTGCTTTACTTCATGAATAATTTTAAATAATTTTAGTATATTAGTTAGAGAGCACCTAAATAGAGTTTATCCAGTGGATAGGCCGATCAAGACCTGTACCATGGCCGGCTAGATCATCAGATTTAAATCCTATGGACTTCTTCTGATAAGGTAATTTGAAACGACGCGTTTACAATACGCCAGTGGAAACTGTAAATGATCTTCGACAAAGAATTTTCCACCATAGCCAGGAAATGAAAAATAACATCCAAATGCTTTGGAGAGTGCAGCAAGGATTAGTTCGTCGAGCTCGAGGGTGTGTTAGGCAAGGTGGTGCTCTTTTTGAACAATTTTTGTAGTTATTTCCGTTTATTGGTTTTGTTGCCACCCTCATTTGTTATTGTTAAAAACCATAACAACAGTACCAATATATTATCCAAATCAACTTGATTATTATGTGATAGAAATGCTTTATCATCATGTTACAAGTAACGCATTGGAACTTTTAAAAAAAATAGCTATTTCAAAAACTATTAGCTTTAGACACTTCCAAACCTTTTTTATTGTGGAAATACGAGGAAATAAGATTTTTCGGTCAGTTGTAGTATACAGGGTAGCACAAAAAAGTTGTGATAAGTTATTTCCCGATATAGTGCTGTAAGTCGCGCCCTCTAGAAGTATGGCCTTAAAAATAACGGATTCTTGTTTCTTGTACTAGAAAACCTCCCTATGCCGAGTTTTGTGCCAAAATCTAAAATACTGGATGCGTCACCTATTACTTTTTTTTAGCTATTAGTTTATGTGTTATCATGTGTTTCAAAAGTCATGTGGTATGAATAAATGAACGGCCAAAGGTATGCCATTTATAGTCATGGATTCGTTTACAACACAACAATGCATTTTGGTTATCCAAAAGTATTACGAAAACGGTCGAAATATAAAAAATACTTTTAGCAAACTTCGCACTAGTTTTGGCCGACATGGACGCCCTACAGAGCCTGAAATTCGTTGGATTGTTAATCGTTTTGAGGAAACTGGTTCAGCTGAAGGTCGTAGACCATACCAACATACACGTCCAGCTCGTACTCGTGAAAACATAGCCGCAGTGAGTGAAAGTGTGCGAGAAGATCCAACCACCTCGACTAGGCAATGTTCGCAACAATTGGGAATGAGAGAGATCACTTTACGCCGGATCTTACACATTGATTTACACCTCCATTCATACAAAATCCAACTAACACAAGAATTGAAGCCGGCAGACCATCAACAGCGGCGAGTTTATGTTAATTGGATGCTGGAAAGGGAAGACGGATTTTCGGCCAAAGTGCTCTTTTCTGATGAGGCTCATTTTTACCTCAATGGGTACGTAAATAAGCAAAATTGCAGATTCTCGAGGGCTGAAAATCCGCACCAATATCATGAACAACCTCTCCATCCTGAAAAAGTGACTGTTTGGTGCGGATTATGGGCTGATGGCATCGTTGGACCATTCTTCTTTGAAGATGTCGAAGAAAAGGCCATTACCGTCAACGGAAAACGTTATCGCGGCATGTAAACAGACTTTTTGTGGCCACAATTGGATCGTACTGGTGCCGACCATGTTTGGTTTCATCAAAACGGAGCAACGGCTCACACATCTCGCCAAACAATAGCCTTATTGCACACGAAATTTCAAGAACGCATAATATCACGAAA